TGTTTCATTAGAAATGTATTGAATTTTTAATTCTTTATTGAGATGATAAAGCTGACTTAGACCCTCAGTATTACTTACTGTGCAACGGCAAGCAGAATAGAAGGTATCTATTGCTGTTATAATGTTACCTGTTACATTAAGGATCGCATTTATTTTTATTTTTATTGGATTTGTATTTGTTTTTTATTTTTTAGTGCTCTTTGTTAGTATTGTTTGAAGTCGGTTAAACCCTTTTAAAGGATTTATTTTACCATTTTTAGTGGTCTAAACCTCCTTTCTAAGGAAAGGCCTATGTCCAACAGTGGACTATTAAAGGCTGTTAATGATGATGAGTGTAAGATACGTTTGAAACGAGTATATACGATATTTCAAACACTACGTAATGTAATAGATAGATAAATAGATAGTTAAACCTTTATTGTACAAAAGACACAATAATAGTACAGTTTATATACATTTGTGAAGGTCTTATGATCTAAGGGCAGTTACACAAATTAAGTAAAACAAAGGACATAAAAAAGCTGTACGTTTAGCGGCCTTATCGTGGTTTGCGATCTCTTCCAGGCAACCGTATATTACCAAACTTTGGTTTAATAAGTCCTTTAGTTTATTTAGATAAGGTAGTAATGATCAATTTGAACCCGAAAATACATTGTTTTGGACTACTAACAGTGTCATTTTATCTTCACATTTAAATAGAACCAATAGGGAAATATATCTTGGTAATCCAAAATTGGTTTACAAATTTAAAAGTTTTGAGGTAACAAACACGAAAGTAATTGCCTAGCTCGATTTCTCTAGGATCCTATCATCAGATCCTGATTTGGTGGTAATAAAACGACCTATACGAGTACTATATACCCTTTCGATAAAAAAAAAGAATTTTAATATTTACAAACAAACATACAAAAAAATACAGTCGAATTGAGAACCTCCTCTTGTGTTTTTTTTAGTCGGTTAAAAAGAATAAGGAGGAGGTGTAAATGAAATAGCAGCATGCTACTTTTTAAGAAGAACCAGCTCAAAATATTCTCGCTAAACTACAAAACTAAGCTAAATTACATGTCCAGCGAGAAATGGGTATACTGTGGGAAATTTGCACCTACAAGCACTCGTTGGTTAGTTTAAAACCTTGGCTATTACACCGCCGATTTTTAATCAGTGTTATGTTGAGTATGATTTTCATTGTTTGTGAAAGTACTATTCTCTTTTACTTAAGTTCTTTTTTAAATTATATAATCGCAGGATCCTTATGTTAATGATTGTTTAGACGGTCAGTCGATACGTTCACCAACCAATTATCTTGACTGCTTGGTGATCTTGATGGCGCTATTGGAGCACCTCGGGAGTCGTGAGTTCCATTCCCACTCGAGAAAAATAATTGTGTGAAAAGTGCGATCACATAATTATGTTTGTTATTACTAATAAGGATTTGCCTAATTTGAGATCAGATGGCCATGTGTGAGGTGTGTCAAGATTCTTTGGTATCCTGTGTGGGACCTGTAAATTGAGTGTATAGTCATAATTACTCAATTTTAAAGGATAGTTAAAATCACTAGTCATAATTATGATCTTTGTAATAAGGTTAATTAAGTTCTTGCAAGATTGAAAAAACATGTCTGAATGGTGACAAACTCTATTACGAGTATAGACTGGTCTCAAATGTAGATCAACGCAAAAATTAACCAATCGTTGGTCAAATTTCTTGTCAAGTGCAGATATATGGAGTTACTGAAAGCACGATAACCAACTTTGATTTGTTAATTGGTCAAATTTTGTGATGTGTGTGATTGTGAATTCTTATGACAAATACGATGATGATGCCTTTCCATTTATTTTCACTCTAGCTGATTTGATACTGCTATTGATTTGACAGCTCTATTATTTGAAAAATATTTTGATCAGAAATCGAGCAAAAATATTGCAACAGAATTACTCAATACTAATAACTATTAAATTGAAGACCATCAAACACATTAATATTAACTAATGAATTTTGTTTAGCCCTATATTGGCAACGGTAATAATTTATGCTTTGTTCTTATTGTACATTACACATTTGGTTCTAAGATTATTTATGGGCTCCTTGCATAATAACAGCCAATAATCGATACTAACTAGTGTGACTAGAAATTCTAGAAATTTCCAGACGTATGATTTGCCAGTCATAACTTTGAATTAATAATGTTCAATTTTCACCTACTTATACACATATTATGAAGCTTCACGTTAAACATCATGAATGCTTCTGTAAAAGAAGGACTTGAATTCTTCTTCTATGTGATTGAAAATTGTAAGTAGAAATATAATTGATTAGCGTATTATCATATAGTTAAAGCATTACCAAAGTCGAGACGATTTTCCCAAAAAGGTCAAAGAGACCTGTACGTTTTTACAACAACCACATTTTAATACTAGCACCCATACTCTGGAAGCAATATCTGCCACAATTATGAGGTCCGAGCTTCGATTCTTAAGTATTACCAGTAAAGAAACGTAGTTAAGTAACCTGCACAGGATATAGGTTGAATTACTCTTACTGCCTGGTACCTAATTATTCGTCTATCAAGCCTTTCTAGGTGAGTTGTGAAATTAGTATGTAAAAATATTACTAAATCCTGTCTGTAGCCTTGTGCCTCAGATTTTAGGTAAGAAAAAATACCAAGGATATCAAACAAAAGTCACATCAAGGTTTTGGATTTATTTATTTAGAATCCATGCTTGTAAACAGATTTGTTAACTTACACATAAGGTTTGTTTTAAAAAAATATAAATATTGCTACAAAAAAGTACGTACAGTTATGATGGCTAACAGAAATAAAATAAAAACTGTGAATCATACCGCTTAATTATTAGTAATCACGTATCTTAAAACAACACTATAACCCCGAAACTAGGGACAACTTCAAATCTACCTGAGCGACATTAACGTAATTTTGATCATAAATAAATTATTTCTTTAACATTATTTTTTAATAAAGAATTAATTTTATTGAATATACAATTGTCAAAAGAAATATAATAATATTCTATCTACAATATACAAGTAACAAACATTTAACTATGTACATTCAATAGTTCGGACTAGTTCACAATCGTAGTCGAAAATGTGAAGGACTCCTTACTTACAAAATTTACACAAGAGAAATGGACAGTCGAAGCTGTTCAATTTTAGTACAAGTGACTGAGCAATAAATTTTGTGAAAGCGGACTTAGCGAGTGGAATGAAACAGTTCTTTTTAACATACAAGATACAAATGCGGAATGTTAAATGGACTGGTTCCTTCTCACCAATGTAACTATATTATGCCCCACTTTAGAAAATTACTTACTTGAGGAAGTCAATGTAGTTGAAGTAAAATACTTAAACGGAACACCGAGAAAAACATTATTGTAACACACAAAGAATGTAGAGATAGACGTAAAATTTATGACACACATATTGCAATTCATATTGAAGATAGTTCTGTATCCTGTAGGTGTATTAAAAAAATAACATAACAATATGAAAAATGTAATATTATTTGAACAGGCAAAATATTTTCCACTGTTCGCAAGCTGCGAAACCTAATATTGTTTTGTTCTCGTGTGTAGTTTGACAGTAGTTACAATTTTACGAGTGCCCAGTCACAAGTGGGAAAATCGTAAACGATGTCAAATTGCTTTACCATGACACGGAAGATCTCGGGGGTGAAATTCAAAATTTCACTGTTTCACTACATTATCTGTACATGCGGCATACCGCATAAAGCTCTCTTAAAAAATTACAAAAAACTTCTCTTATCAACATATAATTAACCTATCTATAATGTATATACAATTATTGCTATCGAATGTTGCGCTTTCAACGCCCCAGTTACTTATATAAACTGGCTTATTGCCTCCGCTACAAATAATAAATACAGTCATAAATGCTTTTATAATACTCTGTCCAAAATACATCCTTTACACAATCAATTTCCAAATGGCACATAATTCCACCCAAGTACGCAAATAAATAAATTTCGATGTCAATACTAACATATCCTGGAAAAGAAAATAAAATTGAAATGACAACATCACACACACACACACACATATATCAACAGTCTTTAATAGTCCACTGCTGGACATAGGCCTCCCCTTATAAAGAAGGTTTTGGCCTCCTTTAAGGCGTATCAATGTATTGTGTCATCAAAGTATTGTGTGTGAGATATTAAAAACTTTTTACAATAAATTTTACTGAAAAAGGCTGCACTTTGAACACAGTAAATAATTAAAAGCAACTAAAACTACAATAAATTGCTGCCATCCATGATATGCTTTCCAATTTATAACGGAATGATAAAAAGCGATTTCACAATCTTCGGTTGAAATCGTAACAAGCAACCTATATAAATATCTATAATTCATAATAATATTCCGTATCCTGAAATCTATTTATGATTGAATCTATTAACACCAATTAATTATTATCTTTTGTTCACAGTTTATTACTCGAACATATCAAAGAAGATACTTATTACATTATGTAGGTTTTAATTTGCATTGCGTCGTACAAATTATAGCACGTGAGCGCATTCAAAATCATGTCAGTCTTTAAGTAACAAGTTCTTACACAAAAAATATTTGCAGATATATCCCACAAAACATGGTCTTAGAATTCAGAACGATTTTTAACTTAAATATTCATCAACTTTAGATTAGTAGAAATAGTTGAAACCCACACTAATTTAGGTTCGCACCGCCCAAATTGTAAATTATTCTTATACCGACAGTAAAATTCAGTCTTATTATGAGTCAACAAGAATATGTAAAGGTATTTATTCGAATAATGCTGTTTCGCGTAATTAAGGCAAAAAAAACGTGAAGTATTTTGTAAACAGACAAAAAAATTATGTAGCTTATTCACATTCGGGCGGTGCGGATGGTTCATTAGCGACGAGAGGTGCGGGCGGTGGCATAGCAAGCACACGCGCCCGCGCCAGCGCCTAGGCAAGCGCGGGCGCGGTGGGCCTCGCTCAGGGACGGTGGGGATGCGCAGAACTTAATGATGAACTACTCACCCCGGAGTCACTACTCTTTTCAGATGCACAAGGTTCACCACCCGCGACAAACTTAACTACATTAAGCCGATGATCAGATTCACAAGTATCATCTCTTGCACCACCAGGAAGGCCGACACTACGAACAGTGGTTCGTTCTGTACCTGGGCCTGGGTAGCGTTCGATTCTATCACATTCCGCATCATCTGGCTGCCGCCGACGTATGGATCGTTTTGCTTGTGGGGCCGGTTCAGGTGGCCTGTGCGTAGGTTCGTCTGCTCTGTGAACTAGGGGAGAAGTACGGACTCGAACACCACCAACGGCGACACTTGCTTCGTAACACCCCGAGTCTCGTGGAAATTGACGACGCCCAAAGGGAGAATCACCGCCTTCGGAGCTTGATCCGCCTCCATCAACCTCTGCTTCAGCTTCGCCACCTATGAGAGTTGATAATTTTCTTAATAGCTTCAGAATACATATATTTAGTTAAGCAGGTTCTTTATATAAGGTATTATTGTTGCAACTCACATTCAAGCTGGTGTAAAAGTTGAACTGCAGCAAGGATACGTGTGCGATGTTCAGGAGTCATAATGCCCAAGTAGTCTAAATCTGAAGGTTCAATCTCTTTGAATAACTCTATGTCTTCGTATCCATTTCTAGCAAATGCTACTGCATACTCCGGCAAATCTATCCTCCTTAATAATTCTTCTACTGTACGTGGCCGTGTTTCCCAAAGTCTTTCGCGACTCTTACACCACTTAGATGCTCTGGACCGTACAGTATCCCTTTCAGATAAAACTTCAACATTGCCAAACTTAAAATTCCCAACTTTATTATTTATTACACCACGCCATATACCAGAAGCATTCATGTTTATCACTTCGATGATGTCTCCTTTCTGTTAACAAATAATACTCTTTGAAAAATATCTTCCTAGCTATGACTATCGGCTCTACTTTGATATTAAGCTATCTTACCTTGTATCTCAGGGCATCTTTCTCATAAATATTGGGTACGTAATCGACAAGCGCTCGAGCTCGACACAGCATTTGCGGCACGAGTAAACTCCGCCCGGCTGGACTTAATTCTATGTTTTCTTCTGCCGAGAGAGATGAGTGATTACTACCGGCGCGAACCAATGCTTGTGTGCCTGTACATAAATATTCTGGCCTCAGATAAAATATATTGCATACTCTACGACCACACATACTTGAATGTAGAAATACCTGTGTACATCATTGTTTGACTGTGAATGGGTAGGGTTTAGTTAATTTTAGTGATTGCAATGCGATTAGTAGTATTAGATTGTGATGAAATTAAAATTGGATTTACGTGTAATACAAGAGGGTATCTGTAAGTAACACATTGGGGCGTTATGGTACAAAGAAAGGAAAGACAAACTTATTTACAAAACCTTTTATATTAACACAAACAAATAACTCAATAAATCCACTCACTACTGCCTGATCCGCTGGGAAGACTTTCGAAAGAACTATTAGAACATGGAAACGCTTGATCGCCACTCGTCCGCCTATCGCTGCCTTCAGGGCCCCTCTCTTGTCTTAATCTTGATATTTTTCTTTGGACGTCTTGTCTAAGCCCTCGAACTTTTCCTGCAAGATTCGAGACTCCTTCACATTCTTCAGCTGACTGGAAAGATTAATGAAATTGTTAGTCGGGCTAAGGTTATCAAAATCAAAAGCAACGCCGGTACTAGCAAATTTATTGTACAAATACAGTCAAAGTATTTCAAATCTACACCTCTCAATCGAAGAATAAAACAATGATAGGTATAAACTCAAATTACCTTGTGAACGGTGGCTATGTGCTGTGAATCTGTTTCACTCTCTTGATCTTCATAATCTGACGAAGCGGGTGATAAAGGATCTGCACCTATCCGATATCCGGACATTTGCCTGTATCCCCTGCATGAGTCCCGTTCCGACCGGTTGGATTCTAAAGAGATTCCAGATAATCTTGATCCAATAGATTGGATGTCTGACGCGGCGTAATCCCCACTTTCGCGATCTCTCGCTGTTCGCAGGGGGATAACGGTGGTCGGATAGGGACCACTTTGCGGAATAATTAATCCCCTTCTAGGGGTCCTTGCTAAACTAATATCGCCGGCACTTCGTAGTGATATCACACCTTCACCTCTCGGCTCATTTCTAAGATTGAGCGTGAAGCAAACTCGACCATTTTGAAATGTCGCAGCTGGTGCCCCTCCGCCCATCAAAAAATCTTCAGGGTCACTCTCGTACGGCGGTTCGTCGTACCAGTGCCCTCTTCCTGAGAGGCCTCTCGCTTCGTCGTCGTACATATATGTATCGTCTGTAAACGAGTCCTCTATTAGACTTCAATGCACCAGAGTTCCCAGAAATGCAAATAAAAATACGTGCTAACAAAATTGCCAAAAAAGTTTACCGTAAAATGCTTCCCACAAAGTGGCGATTCACTGACAACACTGCAGTTAAAGCTGTGAAACGAACATCGTAAAGCCGTGCGTGGAATTTTGCAAAATATTTTGTCTCCAAAACATGCATTTAGCATTTGTCGCAAAGTAAACGTTATCTGTATGAATGATGAAGGCTTTGGTTGTTGTTTTCTATTCAATTGTATCGCGCTTTTATTTTTAAGCTATTGTATTAACGATAAAAAAAACAACCTGAAACCTTTGAAAATCCTTTTTTTTTCTGTATAAAAAAAAATCAAATGATGAAAGACAAATATGCACATTGAAAGCGTACCGATGATCATGACGTCAAATATAAAATGAATATAATTTCAGAAGCATTCCGTTTCCGTTCACTATATTGCTCAAATAACTCAGAAAAAAATCGTGCAAGCAACATGCGGAACAACGACAGCATTTTTAACTATTAAAAATCTGATTGATAAAATTTAATGTCATAATGCACAGACCTTCGATCCCTTTCTTTAGACTCAATCCTTAAATATCTAGTACCAATCAGATTTTAAATATTCATATAATAATGTTAAGCATTTATGGATTTTTTCCACTTTTTTAAATTATTTTTGGAAAAGTCTACGCCAACATTTAGGTAACCTACCTCCAAAGGGACCTCGAACACCATCTCTGCCCATATTCATTAGACCATGTCTTATGTCTCTCAAAATCTGTAACAAAAATAAAACGCTTACAACAAAAAACAAAAACGAAAACAACATACTTGAATATCTGGAGAATTTTTTTCGCGCCCTTAAAGTAGATAGCATTATTTTAATTTTGCAAGGAAACTGAGCTAGCCATTTTGTAGGGGAGGAAAGGAACAAGATAGGAGAATTTTAATTTTAAAAATAATGAGCAATTTTCATGAGTCCGTTACGTTGTACCTAAACATTTTTTGGATTTTGCAATTTTAACCACCCGCCGAGTTCATCTCCGCAATGCTTTCTAATGTTGCATAAAACTTTATGTTTTTTAATAAGGAGATATAAAGGTTTTATCAACTCGTATCCAGGTATGGACATAATACTCCTCTATCAAAATAAATCAAAGTTAATATGTAATAACTGTGTGGCGAAAACTTTTAAATGTATTTATCTAACAAAATATTTTCCCGAATGCGTGAAGACGATAATAAATATTCAAAGGGGGCAATAAAAAGACCACTTTCTCGTAAGTAGGAAAGTATTGAACATTAACTTAATTTATGCACACTTAGTTACCAAGACGGCGCAGTTTATACAGGAAAGGGATTTACGTGTCGCTCTGTTCTAGAAAATGAGATTTTAGCACAATTTCACTGAAACGGATTGTAGAAAATACATGTACAGTAAAACATTTATATTCTAAAATAACTTCTTTGTATAGGTCTTTAAATCAAGTTATCAAATTATAAAGGGCGTCTCAGTAACTATGCAATTTTTCATTTTAAAATAAAAACACGTATTTTATGAAAGTTGTTATATTTTTATTGGATTGTAAAGAAGACATCTGGCAAATGGCCCCCACGGCTCTGATGACAGGTTATTACTCTTTTCATGAAATTTTGCATGACTTTTACACAGAGATGTGGCTGTATTTCATCGATGACGCTTTGGATCTCTGATTTGAACTCAGGAATTGTTTCTAGTTTATTCGCATAAACCCGAGATTTCACAAAACCCCAAAGAAAAAATTGCACGGCCTTAAATCGCAAGATCTTGGTGACCACTTGACATCAAAATTTCGTGAGATAATGTGTTCTGAAAAACGTTGCTTCAATAAGTCGATTGTTTCATGCGCGGTGTGGCAGGTGGCGCCATCCTGTTGAAACTACATGTTGTCCAGATCCATGCCGTCAAGTTCAGGCCACAAGAACTCCGTTATCATATTCCTGTAATTAATGTCGTTCACAGTCATTGCAATTTCGGCCTCACCTTAAAAAAGTAGGGCCCAATCACGCCGCCTGACCAAATCCGCACCATACAGTTGCTCGTTGTGGGTGCATTTGTTTCTCGTGGATTGCATGAGGATTTTCTAAGCCCCAAATTCGATAATTTTGTGTATTCACGTAGCCATTCAGATGGAAATGCGCTTCAACGGAGAAAATGATTTTTTCGAAAAATTGCCATTGACTTCAGTTTTCTCCATTACCCATTGAACCAATTGCTTTCCATGGTATGCTGGTTTGAGCTTCTGAGTTAGCTGAATCTTGTCCGCATGAAGGTGGAGGTCTTTGGTCAAAATTCACTGCGTAGTGCTTCGTGTTTGAAGTTGTTGAAAACGATGCCGAATTGATGTTTACGGGTTTTTGGCGACACTCGTTTACAGCAGCTATGTTTTTAACATACCGACCGTACGTAAAGGTTGACGCAAAGGATTCTATCTATAACCGACCCAGTTTCTTTAAATTTTTGACCACTCTTGGAATGGTTGACACATTAGGTGCACTTTCTCGACTGAAAATTTGGTGAAGTTTGCGAGCGGTTTCAGAGTAACTTTCCCCATTTTTGTAATGAGTTTTCACAATGTTCACACAAAAAAAGTTTCTAAATTTAAAAAGTGCACTCTTACTGAGACATCCATTAATAATATATTTGAAAGAATTTAAAATACGGCTGCGTTAAAATACCGAGCAATTTAATTGATGCAATCCCCGCCCAGGACAAATAACTTTATCAGTATTTAGTTTTATATTACTACAGTTCGAAGGGCCGTCTAAAGGTTTAATAATTAGTAGCAGTCACTACAACCGAAATCGGCCTGGAAGGATTAATTAATTAATATTAATACACAAAAGTTTTTATTATAATGTAATGAGTCTCAATAAATGCTTACTAGCTATTGCGCGTTTATTTTCAATCTGAACCTTATAAAAAAAAAAAAAACTTTATTTCAGTATCAAGTTACGCAATGGACAGTTTGTTCGGGTAGTAAAATTTCAATGTTCAATATTCCGAAGTTCGACCCATAGTTTTACGAGCGAATTGTGCTGAGCAAGGGGCTTCGGAAGTTTCGTAGGGAAGCGATACAACTGCCTCTAATAGGCTTAGTCCGAGATTAGGGCACGATTAGCTTGGCTCGGTAGGTGCGCGTCGAATGCTCGAGCCAGTCAGGAGATTACATGTTGGTGCGAGGCTGGTATTAGATTAGTTTTGGATGTTCGCTTTGGAACAGGCGACTTATATATTTCATCGTTTTTGAGGTTTCAAGGTTGTCATTTTTTTTACTACAATAATATTTATTGTGTATTCTAACGTCCTTCGTATAGTTTTAGTTTTTTATTTATTCGAAGTGAGTTACCCAATGTTTGTAAGTATATAAATTACTTACTTCTTCTTGTTCTCTGGCTAACTTATCTTTTTTCTTCATTGCTTCTTGAACTTTTAACTGAAACAAAAATATTTTGAATTAATCAAGGAATCTGACGTATTTAAAAGCTCTGATTGTCATTTGTTACTTTCGATAAATAGTTAAAACATAATATTTCTTATATAATGTCCTAGAAGAACGAATGTGTTGAACATAAGTAGAAAAAATCTGTGTACAATAAAAATTATAATATCGCAGATCCTTAAAATGTCATTTAAAGTGCCCAACATGCATCACAAAATAATAATGTCATGCATAATATAATCGTGCAAATAATACCAGAACTAAAGCTGTGCATAATAATATTATGACCCAATGAAGACAGAAGAAAGTGACATTCGAAACGAATTTGTGAAATCGTGACGGGATTGAAATATTATTAGATGCAACAATATTTATACCGTAGAGCCACCTCCAATTCTTTGAGCATGCCGATTAAATAAGCCGAAAATGTTTGATGAGATTTTGAATTTTGAAATCTGTTATGACTCTGTTTGGCAAAGGTATGATGAATGATGTAAGGATGTAATATTTTCTAAAAAAGAATAAATAATTAATTTAATAGTTTATTATATTCTAAATAAATATAAAACCAATATATAATAAACAAAATTAGATAAATATAAAGTCTAAATATAAGATTACAATTTGATTCCTTAGTAAAATAGCTAATTGTTTTCTACAAACATAAAAAAGACGGTTTGTTAAGGCAAACATCAATGGTATAATAGCACAAATAAATAAAAACACGTCTTTACACAGATAAATGAGCCAAATAATTTGCCATCCAGAGCGTAACAGATCACGGCTTTTTCCTGCAACACCTTTGAGGGACAGAGCTTTTATTGTACCCTCAACTGAAAGTTAACGATACAATGACACAAGTCTTTTGTATTACAACAATACCTTTTTTAAATGCCACTGATTTTGCGTCGTTTTTTAAAAATAAAAATGTTTTAAAAATTGCAAAAATAACGTCTTAAAATTGTAAAATAATGAAATTTGTGTTTGGCATTCTAAAAGGTTTTTATCGCTCCGTCCGTTTGAGATGTTGAAGGAAAATTTTAAATGCTCACCCTATGTATAGTTTCCTCGAAGGTGTTTGGTTGGGCGGCACTCATTTGAAAGAAGCGGAGGCGGTCATAGTCTCTGGGGTCAACCATCGACCTGAGAGCCGTGTCGGGGCCAGGCCCTAGACCGAGGCCACTTTGTAGCACGCTGTCCGGTGTATCCACCTGTTGGAAAGTCGTTACGCTTATGTATAATCCTAAAACTTACTGCCTTTGACTTAGTGACGTGACCATCTTTTTCTCTCTAGTACAAAGATTTATAAAGTTACAATATTATCTATACATTAAATTCAATCCTTTTTTTTGTATCTCGTCAGACTATTTGCCCTATTTTTAACTATTGAACTATACAGATAATTGAGTTATTAACTTAAGAGTTGAACCACATTAATTTCACAGCGAATAGTAGTAATAAACATTGGAAATAATAATATTACCGTATTTTTGACTTAGAAATTTCCTCTGCTAGAAAAGTTTTGACCTCAACTCAAAACCTATCTTTTTATAAAACACTTGTCGCCGTTGTCTCTATGAATGTACACCTATAGCATTTATTATAAAGATATCACTACATTTAGAAACAGTATCAATTTGTGACGTGACGTGCGTGCCATCCTGACTGTGATTTTTTTGCGGATTGATGAACGAATATAATGTAAGTATGCTTGCGATTGTTTTCATTTGTGTTGATGTATGATATATATCTTTAATTATTGTAATTGGTATAACCGCTATAATTAAAGTAAATAAATATATGTACCTATAGAAGGTTAACATGGCTTTCATTTACAAGTTATTAATAAACATTGATTAATTACCTAAACAAACATATAGTAGTCACTTTAACATATAAGAAAAATAAATGACTAACAACGCATACGATAAAAATTTACATCATCTATCATGGGCCATCCAGTCATTTTTCTTATAAAGATTTCTCGCATATACACTAGCTACTTTGAAAATTGTAACTTTCTCCCGAATCACCGTTTCCCCTTATAAAGTAGGCATGATAAATTATCGTCTCCAGCAAAACTTTTCAACCATCATAATTTAAGTGTAAATAAAGTTCCGCAAGCGATTCAGCTCGAAAGTCAAATTAGGTACAGTTTATATTTTTACTTTGATTAATCTTCGTATACGTTTAAATTTTGATCTTATTTTTATAACTGAGAATTCTGATACCGTCTAATAATGGTATTTTTTTGCAATGAAGAAACGAGACCGTTCATTTGTTCCTGCTCTTATCTCAATTATAACATGGCACAATGGTTTTAGCTAGTTCAATTAATGGCCAGCTGCCTAAATAGGTCTTTTTCAGAATGTAATCGGACTGAATATGTTGAATCTTGAAGAGGTTGGGGTGGCGTACGTGCATATCTTTCCCACTAGTCTAGTCAAGTAACTACTAGTAAAACCTAGTAGAGGCTACGAGCAAAATTCTTTATAAACATGACACATCTTAGAGGGATTAATCAGCGAGGTTTGACACGCTGACCTGCTCGCATTCCATATTTAAAACTATTTAACGACGAACTTTGTGAAAAATCAAGTAGCAAATTATTTAAAACCTTTAGCTTATTTATAATTAGTAGTAATATTATGCAAATGAATTTACTTTGTAGTGGCCGCGTGTTAAATGTTGTATTTATAACACAATGTCGGAAACTTAATAACAGCTAAGTGCAAACACTTTTACCTTATTACATATTGTATACAACTTAATTACAAAAGTGGGAGAATGTTCTGGTATAATATGGTAATCGAGTGAATCTAAAAGACACGAGTCTAGCGACTGAATTAAAGCACTAGTTTAGTTTTGCTGTGTAAGGAAAATGATGGGATCCGTGGGCGGAGATATAGTACCGCATAAATAACTTCACACATCTCACATACGGCCATCTGATCCCAAACCAGGCAGAGCCTGTACTATGGTAACCAGACTGCTGATAAACTTAATTATATATTTCTAAATACATACATAATATAGATATATTACACCCAGACACAAACCAAATGATCGTGCTCATCACACAAATATTTGTCCTGGGTGGGAATCGAACCCACGACCTCCGGCTTAGCAGTCAGGGTCACTAACCCCTAGACCAACAGGCCCGTCAAATGATACCTCTTCTGATTAATGTTTACTTTTCAATACTAGTTTTACTAACATGCTTTGTTAGCTTTAGTTGTTACTAACTAAAAGTGTAAGTAAAGCTTACAACTTCTTTGAAAAAAAAAACTCGTAATGTATACTTAGACAAGGACAATATTTTAATTTTGCACCTTGAAGCCGATCTGATGATACATTCGGTAGATAGTAGCCTTAGCTCATATAATTGTTTTAACATGTCCAATAGTACAGGATCCAGTATAGTAATTCAAATCTGATGATGGAACCACTAGGTGGATACTAGAGCTCTTCCCCTTTTTTATAATTAGGTTTGACATTAAGCGTTTTTTAAGTATTTTATTTGCACGCACAATACATCCAATAAAAAAAGTAAATAGCTTTTACTAATTAAACGAATACTCATTAACTAATCACAAATACATATAAACCAACAAACGAAATCAACAACAAAAAAAATTAAACTACATAAAATGAAACGCTGCTAATTAGCATGCATAGTTAGTTTAGTGTGGAACAACAATAGATTTTCATTTATCATTTTCATTTACTAAGGAAAAAGCTAAGGATATCTGCATCACAATGAGGGTATGTATGAATCAATTAATCATAGGATACACAAAGCTCGCCCATTAACTTCTTACTTGATAAGGGAATAATGCGAATACCCTACAATAGAAACCTCCTATAATGCGACAGGCGATGCCCGAACTCCAGCTCTGCGCAATTTATTGGCCCCTTATCAAAGTCACACACGTTTTCTTTATTCGAAAATATCATTTTAAAATTGTTCGATGGGTGCCATTGAAAACATAATAATATTAAAGTTTACAATTGAAATACAATTTTATTTTGTTTTAAACATTTTGGACGTTTTCTTATTTAATATTTTACTGCTGGAACTCTTGCAGTGTCATGTTTTATTTTAACTGTACGTAATTTATAAAAGTAAAGTTGAAATTTAAAAAAGTGGCCAAGCTTTCAATGAAAATCTACATACATTTTACTATATTCATTACTATGTCTATAATGTATGTAATACTAGTAAACTTTGAGAATCAGAGATTGGAAAATTGGATATATTTTGAAAAGAAAAGGCGAGGAGAAGAAGCTACAGAAGTCAACGCATACTGCTTATGCGAAGGAATTGGGGAGTGAGAAAAAAACAATTCAAACTGTCTATCACCAATAAGACCGAACGATCTAACTATAATATAATGTTTGCATTACTTCAAAAGTGCCTACGTTTATATTTAAATTAATTCAAATGTATAATTTATTCACAGCAATCACTAAAAGAAACAAATCAATATCATATTATAATTATTATTTGTCTAGACACTAACAAGTTTATGTATTTAAAATGTAATTTGCATGCAGACATTGAATAATTCAGGGATGCTGACACGATAACTGGTGACAAGTAATAAAATGTATTGAATTATTAATATCGTTCACGTATTGTTTATGACTCTAGTATGACTCTAGTTCTACATTGTATGAGTCAGTTACGTTATTATTATAACGTTATTATCCCTGGTTGACAAATTTCGAACATACTTCTAAAAGTATTTTTTAATCCGCCATTTTAACTGGAGCTGTTATTTTATAGACTTTAAAAATATATTATATTAGACAAGTTGAATTTGATGAACCCGTTTCCACGTAATATTTAAAGTAAAATTTATATTCAACAAATAAACTCTCTAAGCTTCTTCTATACACCACATTTAACTATTTTAAATTCCACATTCTTCCATTAAAATTTGTACAAAGACTTCTTCACGTATTAATTTATAAATAAGATATGATATAAACAGTTATTACGTATATTTTGAATACATTAAATATTACTCCATTTTACTTTTAGTTTATCACTTAAATGATATCCTGAAATTGAACCATGTTGCAAGTACTTCTTTCATTTACTTACTTTTAAGAGAAAAAAAAACGTGGGTCTTAGATTACTACTAATCATGTTAATGTTTTCAACGTAAACAAACGTTTGTTAAACGAACTGCTTTAGAAGTTTGAAGTACGAGTACCCCACGATCTTCAGTTTCAAGCCTTAGAGATTACGCTGTCACTATACCGCTTTTAATATCTTATTACAAAATATTTCACACGTAGTACACAACCCAAGCGTCGGTATCCTAGTGGTTCCGGCGTTGGACTTGCGATCAAGAGGTCGTGGGTTCAAATAATGTCCAGTGCACTACCGACGTAAACCCACTCCTAACACAAGCAATTTAGCTTAGCCGGAATTAACGGAACTACGAGTAATTTCGGTTGCTAGTAAACCTTTAAAAAACACGCTAAGCGGTTTCTAGCGACCAAAATGTTTCCAACACCTAACTGTACTACAATAAGAATATATTCTTCGTTTTCAAACTTTGTAGCGAACAATAATACGGAAATGAATAAACTAGGCGAAACATTCAAGTTATTTAATAATGCAAAAATATTCAGAAACAAAGTTGCATACAATTTTCACAGCAAAACGTGGTAGAAAAGTAATCTGCGTCAAAAACAATGCTCCTCTGAATACATAGCAGTAAACTTGATAAATGCTCTAGTTAGGGTTGTCAGCAATATAAAAGTTTTACAACAGTTTTCGCTTTGAAACTGGTTATTTAAATTTTGGTATCGTAGTTTGGAAAAATCTAATTGAAAACTACAGCCACACTATTTAAATAAAATTTGTAACTCCTAAGTTATTTTGATTATTTTTAGGTAATAGCTTCTCTCAAATTGCAATATAATTTCAGTCAATCAATGCCTCTTTCCTTTAGTTTCTTTTTGTGTCAGTTCTTACAATAAAGCCAAAATTGTTGGTTGGCTAAGAAAACTATTTGCTATAATTCTATTTTATTTTTGGAATAATAATATGTTGTTTACATTAATGCTTTTTAAATAGCAAAAGAAAAAAATATCAAATAATTTCATTATAAATAAAACATTTATATCTAATTATATTTATTTAGTAATTTTAAACCCCTTTTGTTTTTCAATTTTCATACGGATATCTGTAAAG